GAGAAAGGAAACTCACAATGTGCTCTCTGTATACATATTGTATTGGATGTACAATGTAGCTTGATGCTGGGTAGGCAGCATGGTTACAAGCGTTGAGTAGAGAGCTGGTTGGTGAGGGTGCCCAGAGGAGGGCACGCGGCTTGAGGGACGCCAAGGTCGCCGGCGGGAGCGGGAGCCGCCAGGCAGAAGCGGAGGAGGAGGTGTTGCTTGCTGGTGGCAGTAGGTAGAAAGAGCGTGGTCACAGCGGGGTGAGGTCTTATAAGGTGGGGGTAGGCGTGGGTTGATAGTTGACCCCCACTCCGTCAGGCGGCGCTGGAGGCGTAGGCTGGGAAATTCAAAACGGGTCGGCTACTCAGCGACAAACGGCGTTTGTAGGGGTTGGAATCCACTACAACACTTTAACTAGGATTCAGTGGTTTGGGGGGCTCAACTCCGAGAATAACAATAACCCTAGTACCACCAACATTCATGGATTCAATACTTAACCTGGGATGACTATATTTCTGCTAGTCATCCCCAAGGATGGATATTAATACGGCTCCATACATATAGCCAAGAACAATAGATGGACCGCGATCACAAGACGGAGTCAGCGGTGCAAAGTTGTTTACAGGCTCGCCTGCTAGCTCGGAGCGCCCGAGGAGTTGACTCGTGACAAACTGGCAGAGTCGTCGATGGCGCCTCCCGAGGAAACTCGTCCTGGGATTCTAATCTCGCCACCTTAAAGACATCCTTCGAGAGCCATCTTGCCCATAGGCGGCTCCCGAGCCTCAGTAGTGTCGCCAACACACAAACAGCGTCTGGAGATGCGTGGAGAAGAAATCACGAGATGGTGATTTTTAACTTCAACTATACACAACCTACGTCTGGCAACTGTATAGATGATATCTTCGTTACTCGACTTAATTGGCACAGAAGATTACTATGTTGAAACATGAACACTGATATTCACCAAAAATCGACAAAGTTAAACTGAATTAACATGACGGGGAAAAAAATCATCTACATACCTGGAGACGTGGAGGAGAAATCACAAGGGAGTGATTTTCCCCGTGTGTCTGTACATATACGGGCCCGAGGGCATATCCCAACTAGAAAGACTAATTTTATTAACAATAGACCTTCTATTCAAAGTGGTCGCTGGACACCTGTGGGGTTATGTGATGTTTGGGTTCACACTCAGGATGGGATGGAGAAAGGAAACTCACAATGTGCTCTCTGTATACATGTTGTATTGGATGTACAGTGCAGCTTGGTGCTGGGAAGTGGCAGCGTGGTTACAAGCGTGATGTAGAGAGAGCTGGTTGGTGAGGATGCTCAGAGGAGGACCAGCTTGTGGGTCGCCATGCTCGCCGGTGGGAGCGAGGGCCGCCAGGCAGCGGCTGAAGCTAGAAGAAGAGAGGTAGGTCACCACGAGGTCAGGTCTTATATAGCGAGGTAGGCGTGGCTTAATAGTTGACCTCCGTCATGTAAGGCGGCGCTGGTTGACCTAGACCACGAGGCATACACTGGGGAATTCGCGGGGTCGGCTACTCAGCGACAAACAGCATTTGTAGAGGAAGTATCCACTACAGTACTCCCCCTTCCCTCCAGGCGGTGTAGGAGATTTGTTGTCTGCAGGGTTGCATGGCACATTTGAGGCAGAACGGGCGGTGCATGCCACATGTGAGCCATAACGGCGAGGGCGTGGATGAGCCGGCCGCTAGAGGAGACAACTGTCTAGATACACAATATCTGTGGGAGTAGAGAGGGAGAAAAAGGGTGTGTGGAGGCAATGAATGATGTGCATCCCTCGCGGCAGGTACAGAATCCTCAGATGCGTCTGCTGGGGTGTGTGGGCCTAGGTCAGGAGCAGGGGCTGCGTTAGCAGGAGCGGATGAGGGCTCGTGACAGCAGCTGGGTCCACGACAGCAGCAGGGTGCAGGACAGTAGCAGGGGGTACCTGAGGGAGAAAAGAGGGGTGTGTGGGTCCTCATTCAGGCGCATGGGCTGCGTCGGGAGCAGGGGCTGCATCAGGATTAGCAGCAGGGGGTACTGTTGGGCCGGGGGCGGCGTCTGAGGCGGAACGGGTGTGTTGGGGTCGGTGGGACGTGGTGCATGGGGCAGGAAGGGGAGCGGCTGTCTGCTTAGAGTAGCAGAGCTGCTCTAGGGTGTCTAACCTGCGGTGTAGAAACAGTAGCTGTAGAGCCGATGAGAGCTGCCTCTGCGTGGGTAAGCTAGTCTTCCATCTTGCTTGAAGACTGGGAGAGTGATCGGTTCCTCCTCCATGCTGTGTGAGTGCGTCACTCCGGGGGTCACCATTTGTGGGGAACAGGTTGTTTGGTTCACACTCAGGATGGAATGGAGAAAGGAAACTCACAATGTGCTCTCTGTATACATGTTATATTGGATGTACAATGCAGCTTGGTGCTGGGAAATGGCAGCGTGGTTACAAGCGTGACGTAGAGAGAGCTGGTTGGTGAGGATGCTCAGAGGAGGACAGCTTGTGGGCCGCCATGCTCGCCGGCGGGAGCGAGGGCCGCCAGGCAGCGGCGGAGAAGGTGGTGTTGCTTGCTGCGGCTGTAGCTAGAAGAAGAGAGGTAGGTCACCACGAGGTCAGGTCTTATATAGCGGAGGTAGGCGTGGCTTAATAGTTGACCTCCGTCATGTAAGGCGGCGCTGGTTGACCTAGACCACGAGGCATACACTGGGGAATTCGCGGGGTCGGCTACACAGCGACAAACAGCGTTTGTAGGGGAGGTATCCACTACACACCTAGCTGTGACCGTCAGTGTCACAGGTCAGGTTAATTTTCTACATCTATCTTTATGATCTAATCAGAGATTGAGTTTGTCAGGAAAGAGGTGAAATGGAGTTATATATGCACTAACAACTCTACTTGCCTGACCGCAAACAGCATTCCAGGCCGAAACAGCTGTTAAGTCTTGGAGATTTTGAGTCTGACAGGAACTGTTCAGTAGATTAATGACTTTCTAAAATAGACAACTGACACTAACTAAACTACAAACATCAGATTCCCTGATGTTTGGGCGACAAAATAATATAATTTCAGTAGCGATAGGAAATTCAAGATGTCCCTATGGACGACATAAAATAAGCCACTCTAACTGACACACTCGACACTCACTCACTTGACAAGTTTTACTAACAATAAGGACAGTTGCAATTTCAAATTCTGTCACTACTAAGGAATAATGAAGTCTCGGGTACATTCAAGATTGAAAGAAAACGGAGGACTCAGACGTCCTGAAGCGATGAGAAAACGGACTCCTCAGATGGGGAACTCCAATAAGAAAGTATAGCTATATGTTTTGTGGGCTATTGAGCGTAATATGAATCGTCTGATTTTACGTTAACTGACGTGTATGACCGTGGTCATTACATTGCGACCACACACTGTTACGTTGTTGATGTATGAAAAATTGCCATCTAGCTTCTCTTTCGTCACAATGTCATCAATTTTGCGTTGGAAACTGGCAACGCCATTAGTAACACCAAAAGGTATTCTACAGAATTGGTAAAGATGTCCACCAGCCTCGAATGCAGTGTATGGTCTATCTTCCTGTTTGATAGCCACTTGATGCTTTGCACTACGTAGATCTAGCGTACTAAACACACGATATCTAGCAATCACCCTTACCATGTCATCGATCCGTGGTAGTGGTTACGCATCTAATAAGGTGAAACGATTGATTGTCTGTAAATAATCTATCACCATTCTCTGTTTGTGGCCTTCGGACGAGACCACCAATGCCTGAGCACACCACGGAGACTTACTTGGTTCAACGATGCCCTCCTTCAGCATTCTAAACACTCCAGAACCCCATCTGGAGTACTGTCACCCCATCTGGTCCCCGAGATATGCTAGGGACTGTCAGTTGGTTGAAAATGTTCAAAGGAGGGCCACCAGACTGGTGCCTGCACTTCGGCACCTCAGCTACCCTGAGAGATTGGAGCGCCTGAACTTGCCTAGCTTATAGTACAGACGGGCAAGGGGGGACCTAGTTGAGGTGTATAAGCATCTCAGGGGGCACTACTCAGTTGAGTGTCCTTACTTGGAGCTGGCGGACGCTCGCCCCACAAGGGGTCACAGCTCAAGATTGAAGAAGCCGCAAGTCCAGAAAACCGTGAGGGCAAACTTTTTCGGAGTGAGGGTTGTAAACTCTTGGAACAATCTACCAGAGTGTGTTGTGACGGCACCGAGTGTGAGCTCTTTCAAGACAAGACTTGACCAACACTGGAGCTGGTTCAGGTACATTCAGGAGCCGGTGCATGCCCAGTATTTGCCAACAGTACGTGACAGAGACGTGACCGATCGCCCGGGCGGCGAGCGAGCCGATCTTTTGGTGAAGAAGATTAATGAAAAGAGACGTGACCGATCGCCCAAGCGGCTAACAAGCCGATCAGTGGCGAAGAGGATAAAAGAAAAAAGTAATAAACTTCTTGTCACCATGTGAATAACGCCTCTATTTCACTGCTATTGGCCTGCAGTCAGGTGGCAAGTGGTCAAACAATGATGGAAATGGGACTTTAACAGCGGCAAGCCCACACACCGCCAGGGCGGGCTTGGAGCCTCCGAACGGAATTTGAACTGCTGAGTGCTGCTGTAGGAAGTCGTGTCCAAGAAAAGCATCACTACAGAGGTCCAGCATCACAGACAGTCTAACATCACTGTACTTAGGGTAATTGAGTTCCAAATTCGTAATGCAATATCCCAGAACCCTCGAGGTTAGAGAACTATTTGCCATAAACACCTTTCCCACACAAGGGAAGAATTTCCATCCATGCATGTGTACAATAATAGAGCTGACAAAGCTTTCAGAGCTACCGGTATCAACGAGTGCGGTGACTGGAACTCCGTTTATCTTAGCTTTCACCGCAGCCCTTGACACACAGCCAGGAGATGCAGCAGAGAGTGTCGCCAATGTCGAGAATGAATCTGAGGTGGCTTCAGAGGTGAACTTTGCAGATCGGCACACTTTAGCATAATGGCCTTTCTTTTAGCAGTTGAGACACAGTACATCCCTTGCAGGACACTTGGAGCGGGGGTGTCTACCAAGACCACAGAAGAAACATTTCAGATTAGCAGCAGCCACAGTTACTGGCTGTTCAGTCTGGTCAGTTGGGGCAGATGTGGGTGAAGCACTTTGAGGCAGATTTAAAACAGCTTCCCGATTTGGAGTAGCCATTGCAGCATTAATAGTGACAGGTTGCATATATGAAATAGACTGCTTCTGGGCCATCTCCAATGCATGGGCCTGTTCAGAGCAGTCTGCAAGTCGAGTGTTTTATTCTCAAGCAGGCGCTGTCGTATTTGGTGACCTTGAAGTCCGTTAATGAATGCATCTCTGATGTAATTGTTGCTGAATCGGCTGTGTTGTACAATTAACCAGGCCGTTCACATATATTTATTATTTGGGTTTAAGTAACGAAACCCAAACTGTAGTTCCTTGTTTTATTATAAAAGGATTGTATCTATAATTCCTGAGTGTAGATCGACCGTAAGTTCCACTGTATATGCGTGAATGAGAAAGGGACGGCGTTTATGTAATATAAACGTTAGGTCACGTCCTTACGATATAACTTTCTGTGAGCAACTTATGAGTAGTGACCCATCGAGGGAGAACGGTATGGGTACGTCGTTCCCCCTCGAGGGAAGACGGAGCCATCCACTGCTACTCTCAAATAACGTCTTCCTCTAGTCAAGGATATCAAACTACTGCTCGCTTCAGGTGGCCAGAGAGCCGGCTACTTATGCCTTTACTCAGCATAGTATGACACAGCTTCCCGTGGGCACACCTTATCACGTGCATTGAACATGTCACCTCATAGCCAGTGGAAAGTTACAGGGTGGTGAATCTGAATATAATATCAGATGTATTGACCCATTTATATAATATGTTCTGTTGATGAGACAGGGACCCATTACATTGCGTGCCTCCTTGGCTGAGACTGCTTAAAAATTGCAGTACTTACTCAGTGCTTGCAGGTACTGGTCCAGAGTCTCTCCAGCTTCTTGACAACGAGTTGCTAAAACGTGTCTGGCAAAGATCTTTTTTTTAGGTTTGATGTAAAGCTCCTTGAGCGTGTTAACAGCATCTTCGTGTGAGTCACAGTCAGCAATGAATTCGTAGACAGATGGTGCAACGTAGTTGATCAGGAGATTTAGTCTGTTCGGTTGAGTGGCCTCAGTTGTGAGTGCATCCAGAAAGTATGTAAAAGTTCGGTGCCAGTGGGCTGAGCTTGGGTCCACATCAAAACGGTCTGGCCTCATAAACTTCTTCATCATTAAGTAGAATAAATTGCTATGAAAACCAAGGTAAGCACTTGGAGGCTTTATTCAACTTAATGCACCATCAGTATCCATAGATCTGTAATAAACAGAATAAACAGGAATTACAAATTAAGAATGACTAAGCTTCAAGTAACAGAATTGGCTTAACACTAATAAGCATAACATAAGAAATAAAAGAGAGCTTCAAACAATATAATCTAGAGCACTTAACCAACTAAGCATAACACATCACCTGTGATGCCCGGAAACCCTTCTGAACTGCACAGGTCTGCACCTGCGATACCCAGAGATCTTTTTGAACTGCACAGGTCTGTGCCTGTGATGGCTGGCTAGGTGTGAGGTATGGCGGCTGGCTGGGTGTAAAAACATAAGAATGGAGGAAACTGCAGCGGGCCTATTGGCCCATACTGGGCGGTCCCGTTTACACCCAACCCCTATCACTCATATATCCATCCAAGCTATGTTTGAAGCTATCTAGCGTATTCGAGTTAATGATGATTTTTGTTAACTTGTTCCACTCATCCACTACTCTATTTCCAAACCTAAATCTAAAGTTGTCTAATTTAATTACGAGTTCGCTCCTGATTGGATAGTTTGAATACCTGTTATATCACCTTTGTTTAGCCCTGACTTCCATTTAAACACCTCGATCATATCGCCCCTCACTCTACGTCTCTTGAGGGAGTGCAAATTAAGATCTTTAACCTGTCTCTGTACTCAAGGTTTCTCATGCCCGGGAATAGTCTTTCTAGGAATTCTACATCCATTCTGTAGTACAGTGACCAGAACTGAACCGTGTAATCCAAGTGAGGTCTCAAGCGCAAAATATAGTTTTAAGATAACCTCGCTAGTCTTGTTACTAACACTACTTTGAATAAACCCAAGTACTTTGTTAGCCTTGTTTCGAGCAAATACACATTGTTGACTTGGTTTAAGATTATTATGGCTCCTAAATCTTTCTCACAGTCGGATTTCTCTATAACATCGTTGTTCATCTGGTATATGGTTTCTCTCTTTACATCTCCTAGACTAAGTACTTTACATTTGTCCACATTAAATTTCATCTGCTATTTTTCAGACCATTCGACCACATCATAATCTTGCCCGTCGTCCACTGATTCGAAAACATCTGAAAAGAATGTTAGTAAATTAGTCAGACATGAACTCCCGCTTGTGAAGCCTTGTTGGGAATCATTGAACAACTTGTGTTTCTCGAGGTGATTTCGAATAGAGTTTGAAATTATTGATTCCATTAACTTGCCTACAATTGATGTTAAACCAATTGAACGGTAGTTAGAGGATAGGGATCTATCTCCGTTCTTGAAAATTGGTATCACATTCGCTATCTTCCAGGATTCTGGTACTACACCCTTTTTTAATTACATGTTAAACAAATTTGCTAAGGGCATGCTCAGCTCTTTAACACTCTGGCATATATCTCATCTGGACCTAGTGACTTATTAGGCTTTAGCTTGTCTATTTGTTAACTAACATCGTTACTAGGTATGGCGGCTAGCTGGGTGTAAGATATGGCGGCTGGCTGAGTGTAAGATATGGCGGCTGGCTGGGTGTGAGGTATGGCGGTTAGTTGGGTGTGAGGTATGGCGGCTGGTTGGGTGTAAGATATGGCGGCTGGCTGGGTGTGAGATATGGCGGCTGGCTGGGTGTGGGGTATGGCGGCTGACTGGGTGTGAGGTATGGCGGCTGACTGGGTGTAAGGTATGGCGGTTGGGTGGATGTGAGGTATGGCGGCTGGCTGGGTGTGAGGTATGGCGGTTAGTTGGGTGTAAGATATGGCGGCTGGCTGGGTGTATAGGTTATGTATCTATGCTACTGTGCCGAGTAGCAACCTTGTATATAAGCTACTGTGCCGAGTAGCATCTATGTATATAATTACGTGGCAACACTGCACGTGTTATGTGGCAACATTGCCCCGAGGCTGCCATATGGCAAGGCAGTCTCAGTCTGACTGTGTGAGCCGTGCATGGCACACGCTAGTCACCACTTGTATTTCTCCTTTCCTTCAATAAACGGACTTCAATGTTACCCGGTGTTTCCCTACCCACCACTGCATTCTTCAGGGAACACTTGGAACCTTCATGGCGCAGTGACTAGGATCTGTGGACTTACAAGTGTGTGAACAAATGGACAGTCTGCCGGCGATGTGATGTGCGCGTCGAGTCTTCATGTGTTGTGTGTGTTGTGTTGTGTTTCGCCGCGATGTGCAGTGTTGGGCCGTCACAGTGCTTTTAGTGACGGTGGTAGTGTTAGTGTCAGTGTATTAGCGTGTCTATAGCTGAGAGTTGAGCATTGGCCTCTTTTTTTGTGGTACCCACGGAGCACGCAGGCGTACACCCTTCTCGTGTGACATCCGGGGAGACACTGACAGTCTTGCCTCCGTGAGCCACCACGCTCTGCTGTCTCAGACACACACACACGCACGCACGCACTCACTCACGGACAGAACAGTGGACTCTATGCGT